ATGCCTCCATACATATATATTCAGCAGAGGCATATGCCTTCTTGTTGTAAGGTTATAATTTAACACATTTGATCAGAAAGATGGCTGTGCTGGAAACCTGCTTCATTTCTAATAATAAAAAAAAAAAAAAAGAAACCCCCTTTAAATTTACGTAGGATACATCCTTTGTTGATTTTTGAAAATGAAGGTGGCTGACCTGCCTGTCATGCTAAGTCACACAAGCACTTGCTCAGTCTCTTCATGTGTCAGAGGAATGGAAAATAAGTAATTATTTGAGATAAAATTCTGGTCCCATTGAGGTTAATAAATTATTTTTCCTATGGGATCACAAATTCACATGGCTATTTTTAGCTATTTTTAGCTGATAATGGCAGTTAAATGGAAGATGACACTGAAATACTTTCCGGTCTAATGCACTACTTAGAACTCTTGGTGTTCACATGTGAAGATAGTCATCGAATGCCTTATTATTCCAATGAGTAGTGCTGCTGGTTTCAGAAGAGAAGGTGGCCTCCTGGAGTACTTTCTTCAGTATTTTTTATTCCTTGGAGAAGGTAACACAGAAGGTAGTAACATCTTCATCAACTTTGACACAACCTAACTTTGCAATGAGAAATCTACAGTAGCCTACAGTCCAAATGAGCTGTCAGACTCTTTCCCATCATCTCATCCTGCAGTGCTTTTATCTAGAACCTATTGTAGCACAGCTCACTCTTTGAGGTGTGCTACCAAGGCTTTACATTGATATGTTTCAACTTTCTGTCTTTGTATCTGAGCTCAGGAGAACAGGGCTTCCACTCCCTTAAAACCTTAGAATGGTAACATCTTCTCAGATACCAGAGAAAGTTTTGGCAATGTATCCATTTTGGCTTTGGAAGGACAGGGTGGCGTTTGGAGAGAAAATGGCTGGCAGTGGTCTTTTCATGCCACAGAAGAGTCACCTCAGAGTCCAAGCCTGTTCCTTGCACTTTAGTCTGTAATGACCTTTCTCACACGTCTGAACCTGCTGCTTGTGTTGACAAGGAAAATAGGGTTGAGGCATGCACAAGGCAGCGGTTTGTTTGATTATACACCAGAAGAGTTAGAAGAAGCAGCCACCTGTTCTCTGTACGTTAAACACAGCGTGCACCCACAGCAAGAACTAATGGAAAACCTGCATCTCACAGATAAAGGCTATGCCATATGCAAAACTTATTATAAAAATCCCATTTTTATAATCCCACTTTACAAAACAAAGAGGGGGGGGGGAAGGAATTCTGGCTCTGGCTACAGAAGAAAACCTCCACAGTCTGAATGAATAAGGAACAAGGGATTAATAGTATGTTATGTGATTAAGAAGTTTGCTTTTAGCTTCCTTTTTCTTTCCAAATCAGACCTTATTAAAAATAAAAGAAAGACAAATTGGTCTCCAATGACTATTCCAGCCTCTGTCAGTGATGTGTATTTGGAAATGGGGCAAGTCCACATAACCTCTGTCCTCCGTATCTTTGAGATAATGATGTTATATTTTAGAAAAGCACTTGAGCTATGTCTGACACATGCCGAATGCCCGTTCTCATTACAAAATCTCAGTAAAGTAAAAACCTGGGCCCCCCTGAAACCATCTCAGCTTATAGAAGGAAAGCAAATGGCACTTGTTTGCCAATACAGAGGTAATTCAGACCTATTTAACAGTTAATTCGTGGTACAGTTCGGAATCTGACTGTAGCATTATGAACTGCAGAAAGTAAAGGTTTTGTCTACAGGGTCCTGTTCTGTAAATGGTGCTGAAAAGCATGGTGAGTAGGGCAAAGCTATACTGCAACATACAATCCAAGAAGCATCTTGCTATTTCAAGTTTTGCCTTTTTTTTTTTTTTTTTCATGTTGGGGAAAACATCACATTTAACACTTTGCCAGGTTACTCCAGGTCACTCACTTTTTTTTTTTTTAACATCTCCTCAACTTACTTTTCCTCTACAATGTAAATGACCACTATCAGGGTAAAGCAAGAGGCTCTACAGGTAAAGTAAGGCTGCAAAAAAATAAACTAATTACTTCAAGTCAGGATGAGTGTTTTTCTTTAGAAGCAGCAGTTGGCTGCAATTTTGGTTTTAGACCAGTTACAGAATTACTGATAGAAAGACCTAAACATGTTTAAGGAGATGTTTAAACTTCTAAGCTTCTCTTTAGCTCTTGCAACTCTACTAAATCCATTCTGCTGGATACCACGCTCTCTTCTGCTGACCTCTCCCCTCTTTCTGCACTCTCAGAGGAAGATGAGTGCTTGAAATCAAAGCTGTTGAAGTCCTTTGTATCACAGGGTACAGTTAGATGCTGTGTCTGAACTTACCTAAAGCTCTCTGCTATAAAAAAGGCACAGCTCTCTCCCACGGGAACTCTTGGATACTTCCACACCATTTTCTGAGTGGACTTTAGTTGCGGAACTAGAAGAAAATTTATTTCTCACTGCCCACTGTCCAGAGAATTTTCATCTTGCAGAATACGTCAGAACTGCATTGCAAATGAGCTGTCAAACACTAAAGACAATGTAGGATGGGCTGTAAAGGAACTGCCCATCTTCACCACAGATCAGCTGGCTTCTTATTGAACCATACTCCAAAAGCTAAAGTCCAAAATCAATCCTGCTGAATTTCAATTTGCTATTCTAACTGGGTACTGTGCCACAAATCTCCCAGTGAAGACTCAGTATCACCATGGTAGAAAGAACATAAATGAAGAAGGTAGGGATTAGTTTCTGTGCTTCAGGATCTATTAATTAGATAAAAAATACCAACATCTTTCTCCAGCACTTATTACAGACTGTTTAACTTAAACCAATTAACTTTCCCTTAACCTACTTTTCTCCTTCTCCTGCAAATACATTGAACTTAGCCGTTCTGTCTGCCTATCTACTTCACATCCCTACATTGCCAATTATGCACTTAAAGAACTGTAGTAACCCTTGATATAGTGGTACTCTTGCCACATGATAAAATAGATTTGCAGTTGTTTTGTAAATAACACAGAACTTTAGTCCATAGGACCAACCACTGTTCCCATAACATCAGAAAAACAGGTTTTCTCTATTCAGTGTATTTGTAATGATGAATTATGACACAAGCATCCCTAAGCAGGGTAAAAAGACCATATATTAATACTGACTTTTCCAAGAAGACAACTGGAGCCTAAGGAAGAAGTTGCATCTCTTAGGCAAGGAAATTTTTTAAGACATTCATGGGGTTACTTTCATTTTATATTTTGAAATTAGTAGCATTCAGAGAGACATGTCTGGAGTTAATAAATGCTGTTTTCATTGCAGATTCGGTTCTTTTGGTTCAATTGTAGTTCACGCTATTTTTATTTTTTCTTGTCACTAAGAGTATCTCAAGCACTAAAGAGCTCACGGTTTTCTGTAGTAGATAAAATAGGCTTAAATGCAACATATGTTCATGCCATTATGAAAATAAACTATTCAGTGTTCTTGTGTTGGTAACAACTGTATCAAATTGTGATGACTTTTCTACAGATATGACTCAGCTTCAGTGAAAGTATGCCATCTAATCAAGTGTCCTTTTAATTTATGGTAAATGCCATCTTCTCCATTTCAAATGAACACTTGGGATAGTCTCCTAGACTTCTGCAAGGAAGTCTCTTGCAGACCTGCAGCTTGCATGTATTAACAGTCTCAAAACACTGTGATGGGTTGACCCTGCCTGGATGCCCGGTGCCATCAAAGCCACTGTATCACTCACCTCCCCAGCTGGACAGGGGAGAGAAAATACAACCTAAGGCTCATGGGTCAAGATACAGACCCGAAGAGATCACTCACCAGGTACAAAACAGACTCAACTTGAGGAAATTTATTACCAATCAAATCAGAGTAGGACAGTAAGAAACAAAAATAAATCTTGGAAACACCTTCTCTCCACTCCTCCCTTCTTCTTGGACTTACCTTTACTCTGAAATTGTCTACCTCCTCCCCACGAGTACTTCAGGGTGATGGGGAGAGGGGGTTGTGGTCAGCTCACCACATACTGTTTCTGCCACTCACTCAGGAGGACTTCTCACACTCTGCCCCTGTTCAAGTGTGAGATCCCTCCCACGGAAGACAGTTCTTCATGAAGCTCTCCAACATGAGTCCTTCCCACAGGCTGCAGTTCTTCATGAACTCCAGCGTGGGTACCTCTCACAGCGTGCAGTCCTTCAGGAACAGACTACTCCAGCATGGGTCCCCCACAGGGTCACAAATCCTGCCAGCAAACATGCTCCAGCATGGGTTCCTCTCTCCATGGAGCCATAGGTCCTGCTCCAGCATGGACTTCACACGGCGTCACAGCCTCCTTAAAGCATATCCCTGCTCCAGTGTGGGGTCCTTCACAGGCCGCAGGTGGAGATCTGCTCCACCATGGAGACAGCCTGCCTCACCATGGTCCTTACCACAGGCAAATCTCTGCTCCAGTGCCTGGAGCACCTCTTCCCCTCCTTCTTCACTGGCCTTAGTGTCTGCAGAGCTGTTTCTTCCACATATTCTCACGCCTTTCTCTCGCTGTAATTGCTCAGATTCCTCCACACCCTACAGCCCCCTTTTTAACTGTGTTACCCCCAAGGTGCTACCACCCTCACTGATGGGCTCAGCCTTGGCCAGCAGCGGGTCTGTCCTGGAGCCAGGTGGCACTGGCTCTATGGGACAGAGGGGAAGCTTATGGCAGCTTCTCACAGAAGGCACTCTATAGCCACCCCTCACCTCACTGCCTCTTGCTACCAAAACCTTGCCATGCAAACCCAATATAAACACATTTCTCTTTATCTGCTACTCCACAGCAGCATTTATTCTCTCAGTGAAAAGTCAGCCTAGGATACAGAACTGCCACTGGTGCAGTGGGGCTGGATGATTAATACAAAAATAGAATTCAAGCCACAGAAATTTTTTAGGACAGTGGTGCCATATGTTCTAAGAAATGTAACACCAGATGACGAATACTGCTTTTCACACAATTTATCTTGTACAGTCCTTTCAGGTTCACACCATAGCAGATGCATTTTCTTTACTGTTTTCCATCATTTTGCAACTCCAGCTTCAGAAGCTGGTCCTCAAACTTTTGAATGTCTACTTGATGCTTCATTAGGAACTTTCCGTTTAAATGAAAAACGGGTATGTCATATTTGTATTCATCATACCATGCCGAGTTCTCTGGAAGGGTAATATCCACCTCCTGCAAAATAAACTGCCACAGAAAAAAAGGGTTAGTACCTACTGAACACTGAGAAACAACACCTGCTTTTATTTTTTTGGTAAATGTAAGGCTGTTTTCTTGGTGCTTTTGGATTTATTCTTCCATGTTGTACACAACTACCCATTCTGTGGGTACAAAATCTATGTAGCCACAATCCTTGGCCATGTGTCTGCAAAGGACTCTCTCCCTAGTAGAGGATGATATTCTTGGTCCTGTGTGCAGAGCCATTCTCCTGTGAGCACCAACCACAACAAATGTGAAGCTGGCAACACACTGCTGCTAATTAGCAGAGTGCAAGACCACTTAATGCTTCTGTTAACAGTTTCTTGAAGAAAGAGACCAAAATCTGTTTGAAGAATGGCAAAAAACTACAGTCACATACAGTTCAAATATTTGAAGCCCCACTTACTAACATCCTTCACAAATTATGATCTGCTTTATGAAAATTGAAAAATCCTCTATCAGATAGGCAATAGTGCATACAAAAGCTGTGGTTTTAAAAACTATCGTGACAAAGTGCATATTGGTTTAGTTTGCCGATACTTATTTGAGTAGCATTGTTGCAAAATGCTTTTGGATAATGAGTTTTATTGAAATAAGTGCTGAAATTGTCTTGAAGAGTCACCCATGAAAGCACTGCAAATAAATCCATGCAATTTTCTTTTACAAATAAAGAATCCTGATTAACTGTCCTTTCTATACAGAAAATGTAGGCAATATTGCAATACATTACCCTTCTCTTATATGGTTCAAGCAGTTCTTTTGCTTCGTCACATAGAGGGCATGGTTTCTAAAGAAAAAAAATTCAGACCAACTTAAAGCATACAGTAAACCACACAGATCATTTGTACTGTAAAGTAACATACACTGACAGGAATGATCATTACTGTAAATGTGGGTTCTCCCCCCGTACCACCCTGTCTTAATGCTTTCTAAATTTATTTATCAGTGCAACATGGATAAAACAAAAACTATTCAGCCAAAGAATTCAATTATTTCTTATTTGCTATTATTTTGCTCATGGTGCAAATGAACAGCTTTCAATGGCTTTTCTAAAGGCTGATTCAAGGGCATATTTTGAAAGGTCATGCACAGACCCCTTCTTTTGGTCAGCAGCAATGGATATTCAAAGCTGAAAACAACTGCAGCTACCAGTCTTGACAGAAGAATTTCCCTTGATAGAAGGGGAATGAGGAAGTACTTTCTAATTAGATTGAGTCACTAGGGTCAGTTCAAGTATCTAAAGATGGTGATTCAAGATGACCTGATGGTTGTCTTTGCCTGAAAGGAATTAAGCATGATCCTACAACCTGCAGGAAGAACTGGCAAACAGCTGCAGTGTTTTGACCTGTTACGGGGTCAAAGAAAACATGTCATTTTTAAAAATTCCTTAGTCTTCCACTACAGGAAGCTACTCTACCGCTGACTTCTGCTGGGCATGCATCATGATTAGTAGATTAGTGAGTACATGAAGAAGTAACACATGAAGGCATGCTGCTTCCATGACTGTAATGCCAGAGTCTGGCCTATAATTCACATAGGAAAGCATACAGTGGTGAAGGTGATGGCTCTGTTTCACTGCCACAAAATACCTTCTCTTCCTCCCACTTAAAGTGTTCCTAGGGCTCGTTTAAACATGGAGTCAATCCTCCACATCAGTTTTGTAACATGCCAGGCTCCTAACAGTTAAAGTAGGATATACTTGATTTCCCTAGGTCTGTGAAGAGCTTTCTACTAAAACAGTCTGTAGTGGTTTAAACCCTAGCCAGACAGCTTGTTCACTCACTCCCAGTGAGTGGTGCCGGGCTGAGAGCAATCGAGGCCGCCCCCCTCTCCGGGCTCTCCCCTTCCCCGCTCCTGGAGGAAGTGGAGGAATGGGGAGGAGGATTGAAAGAGTGCAACTCCCATGGGTTGAGACAAGAATAGTTCAGCAACCAATGTACAACACAAATCACCACCACTACCACCAATGACAAGAGAAAATAACAAGGGAAGAGAATACAATACCACCGGCCAAGAAACGAGTCCCACCCAGAAGCCCGTGTCCTTCTGGGTAACTCCCAGTTACCCCCCACCCTTGGCATGACATGCTGTGGTATGGAATACCTCTTTGGCTAGCCTGGGTCAGGCGCCCCGTCTCTGCTTCCTCCCGGCTTCCCCTCCTCCCTGGCAGAGCATGAGCCTCACAAAGTCCTTGGTCAGGGTAAACATCACTTAGCAACAACCGAAAACATCGGTATCACCAGCACTGTTCCCAAGCCGAAAGTCAAAACACAGCACTGCACCAGCTACCACAAAGGAGAAACATGACTGCCACTGCTGAACCCAGGACACAGTCAACTAAAAGCATGTGACAAACTAAGCTGACTCTTAGCAAGGAATACATTTTTACTCCTGGAACTATTTTAAAATCAGACAGTGAACTATGTTAACTAAAAGTGAAATCTGTTCAAAAAGTCCATTTATATTAGTACATAGTTTTCAACAGAACGGTCCAATAGTAGGTTTCTGCCATCACTTGCTTTATGTTAATTTGTAATAGAGCTGCCTAGATAAAGCTGTCTTGGACAACCTTCTCCCTTAGATGTATGTTACAATGGCAGGAGGGACTCCCACTGCTGAGGTAGTAAAAACCCCTTCATTAAGGGACATGCAGTGCTGATAGCTAGATCCATTAGACAATGCACACAGCGGGAGGGACAGTTTTATTTCTACAGATAATTGCCGTTTATGCTGCATACTTAGACTGCAGTTTTGTGGTCACTCTAAGCTGGCACTGATGCTGAAGGAAGCAAACACATCTTCCTGTCACTGCTTCTTTTGTGCTGGCTGTACAGTAGAGCTAGACAGGAGAATTGATGAGTTAACAGCAACCTCCCTCCCCCCCCCCCCCCAAAAGTTGGTGGTTTTTTGAACAAACATTATGAAAGAGGAGGAAATTATTTTAGTTACAACCATCTCCAACAAACATGACCACACTGATGTCAACATTCAGTGCTCTGCATTTCTAGTTACTCTGCTCTCTAAGACTACATAAACCATACAAATGCAGTACAGCCCACCATGTGCCATTCCATCTAAAAGTGCAGAAGAACTCTGCAGGTAATATAGGCTCTTGATAACAGTTCACAAATGACAATTCCTGCCCATCGCTTCTCTTTTATAAACATGTTTAAGAATCCTATCTGCTCATGCCACACACAAACCTTTACCTGCATTTTATTTCTACTAACATTACAGCCAGTAAAGCAAAAAGAGGATAAAGCACAACCTGCTTTTTCCTCATATGCTGCTAACACTGCTTGGATATATTTTCAGTCTCACAGGTGATGCTGAAAGTAAACATGAATGTTTTGAAGAGCCTACTTCTGTCCTGGACAGATTATGCATAACAACTCATCTTTGCTCTCCATTTCAAGAATGAAACATTGGCTGTTAGAAAACAATTTTCAACTAGTAAATAAACTGTAATGTCACTAAGACACAATTATCTTGAAATCTTCATTTACTGGTTGATAATTACTTTCTTGCTACAGTGACAGCAGGACTACGCTGTAAAGCCTAGTGTAAAAGACACCACCAAACTTAAGTGTGTAGTATTAGGATACTACACAAATATGTGGACAAAACGCATAGCAAAGCCCTTTCATGTGGGATTCATATATATCAAAACTGATAAATATGTAGTCTTGCCTAGCTTTATTCTGTAAACAACTTTTACCTTGGTGAATAAAGTCAGCACTGGCTTATTTGCACTGGCGGAACAAAGTGGTCTCCCCAGTGGACTGTACGAATGCCTTGCTAGTTGTAATGTTCTGCTCAGAGCACAGAGCATCATTGTCCTGTTAAGGCAAAAATAAAATCTTTAATTGTTTTGTGGCAAATTATAGCTCATGAAATTTAACGTTAAGATGTGATGTTTCAGTTGCAGTTCTAAAATACACACAATCGGATAATTTCCCCCAGATTTTTATGCTCACAGTATCTACACATTAATCAGAGAAACAGTTTACTATGGAGTGCAGCAGAACTGTTGTGTGGCTCTGGCTCAAAAATGTAGCTCCATTAAAAAAAAAAAAACAAACCCCAACACTGTGTTTTCTTACTGAAATGCCTCTTCCAAATTCCCTAACACAAATGCTGACATAAATGCATTATGCTGTTTCAACTGCATAGATGTCAGTAAAAATTACGATATTAACAAAACGCAAAGTGCTGTGCTTTGAACCTAGTAATCTTGCTGAAGCACTTGACGCATTCTACTTACTCAAATTATTCCATCAAGAAACTAATCTCTACCTAATCAGAACATTAATATAATGCTTTATGCAGTGAAAAAAAAGCTGCAGCCAAGACAATTTAACTTGGTAATATTAAAAGCATGCACATTGCCCCAAGTCCTTCTTGCAACAGCAAATTATTTCTTCAAAGATATTGACAGGCCTGCAATTTCTTTGAGAGAGTTTTAAGTAAACTTAATGTTGAAGCGTGCCATGCTGGAGTCTTGAAGTCATGTATTTATAGTTAACAGTGCTTCCTCCAAGCTTGTGTCTTAATGGGACCTTTACGAGGCATTTTAAGACTGAAAGGCAAAAAACAGAAGCAAAAGGGAGTCTGCACAAACAGCTGGCATCAGAATTTACACTTGGCAAATCAAGTCCCTTCTATATAAAGCCAAACTGCATCTATTTAGTTTCCGTTCAGGCATGACCAGCCAACTGTATCCTGGGTGCATCAAAAGGAGGGTGTCCAGCAGGTTGACAGAGGTGATTCTCCCCCTCTATTTCACACTCATGAGACGCCACCTGCAGTACTGTGTCCAGTTCTGTGGTTCCCAATATAAGAAACATGTGGAGCTGTTAGAGCGAGTCCAGAGGATGGCCGCAAAGATGAACAGAGGGCTAGAACACCTCTCCTGTAAAGACAGGCTGCTGAGAGAGCTTGGCTTGTTCAGTCTGAAGAAGGCTCAGGAGAGACCTTAGAGCAACCCTCCAGTACCTAAAGGGGCCTACAAGAAATCTGGGGCAGGCAGTGGTAGGACAAGGGGGAATGGCTTCAAACTGAAAGAGGCGAGATTTAGATTAGACATTAGGAAGAAATTCTTCACTGTGAGGGTGGTGAGACACTGGCACAGGTTGCCCAGAGAAGTTGTGGCTGCTCCATCCCTCTACCCTCTGGTAAATTTGAGTCCTCTTGATTCCCACCAAAACTTCAGCTGATGGGGAATGAGTAAGACAATATCAGAACCTAAACTTCAAGATCTCACAAAAAGAAATAATGTATCACACTGTCTTACTTCCTTACTAATTCTAAATAATTATAAGCAACACTACCTTTGGAATTCAGGAGCAAATCTCTGCTGACCAGTATTTCTACTAAAGCAAGAGTTTCCAGAGTTATCTTCAGACTGACTGGATGTTTTTTGTAAATAAGTTAAGGAAAACAGAGTCCTGTTGTCAATTTATTCACCTATGTAGAATGATATTAAGGCTACACAGTGATGCCACTTCCAAAAAGACTCAAAGGACTAATCCCAACTCAAAATGACTCCACTCTCCATCCAGGCCCTAGTCATGCTCTGCTCATCCATTAGCATAAAGCAGATTAGGACATTTGGCCCTGAGGGAGGATGAGATACTGTCAGACGGCATCATGTTCCCACAGTACAGATGACACAGCTTGACTTCCCTGAGCTTCTGAAGCCCAGCTGCCAGACAGCATCATTAGGAAGCACTCAGACCTGCTTGCTGAATTTAACCTGGGCTATAGCATGGTGCAACTTCAGCTTTACATGACTGCAACAAAGGCTCTGCCCTCATAGAAGCTTGCTTTTAAATCAGCAGAATTTACTAATCTTATATATTTGGATTAAATAAAAAGGCTGCAGATAAAACCAAATCACAGTGGTTTGGCACAAACACTGAAGGGTGCTAACATAGTGAAGGGTTAAGTATAGTTGCTATTGATCAGGAGGTGAAGAAAGCAAATACCCTATCACTTACTAGGCAAATCTACGGCAGCAGTTCCATTTCTCTGAAGAGCACCCCAGGGCCACACAGGTGTTTAGTGCATACACACTACCATCATGTAAACAAGTGGGTTCCCAACACTGGCCTGTTCTAAGCTGAGCAACATTTCTGGAATGCAGAGCTCCAACCTCAGAGGTCACCTCCATGCTGGTTTCATTGCTGAGAGAAAGAAATTGTCCCACTGACACCCTTTAGGCATTCACATCCAGCTCACATCTGTATCATATGTATCTTTTGTTATGAAAAAACTAAACTGCTAAAAGCACACACAAAATCTTTCGATGTAGTTGTTCTGGAGCTCAATTTAACCTATCCCCCAGTAATTGTAACAATTTCTTTGCAGAACAAATTTAATACGTAAACGTAAAAAAGGATGCTTGTGAACTTCAGAACTTACCCTTCCCTACACTACAGTGATACAGAATGATTTAATAAATGATGCTTGCAAGTCTGGACGTTTCCCATGCTGTATTTTGCAAAGCCAAATTGGACTAATTTCCTGTTAATAGAATTTCCATCACTTAATAAATCCTCATCTGCTGGAAAAACATGATGTGACACTAAAAGTAGCCATTATTTAGATAATTACCTGCATAAACCTCATCTTAACATCAATCAAGGAATGACAAGCATGGCTGATTTCCTCTCCAACTATGTAAATTTTAATGATGCTACATGCTCTTAAATAATCTCATCTTCAAGACACCAATACATTCTTGCTCTGTGGTTCTGAATGTTTTATATGCATAATTACCAACATATTTGGACAGGATTATGTTGTGTTTTCCATGGATCTGTATACATATACACAAACATGAAATTATTATAAACTTGCAGGCATTTGTCTGCATATACTTTACATTCATGTAGCATTTGATTTTGGAACCCTAACCTGGGTTTGGCAGAATATGGGGATCACATGGACATATCACACCTCTTTCTGCAAGTAACACATCAGGAACGTGGAAAATATGACATTGAAAATGTCCTAGGCATTTTCTACCTATTTATCTTAAAGAAACCTTGTGTCTATTAAACTGACTCCTATCCGCCATTTAATCCTAGGTGTAGTCTGACAAAAGAGTATCAAGTGAAAGACAGTGGGGGAAAGTAAACAGATGCAAATACAAGAACACTTCCTGAGGACCCAAGTTAGTGGTGGTTTAAAGCAGCCTTATTTTGTTGTCCCTCATTCAAAACCATCTTTGGTCTTCAAGGAAAGCAAACCTGCTAGGAGTCTCCTGTTGCCAGTTTGATTCCTTACCAGAGAAAAGCTGAACATGAAAACACGCTGACATAGCAGGAGACCAAGGAGCACGTGTGAGAGCTGTTGAGATTCCACCTAGGCTTTTACCCCACCAGCTGTTCAGAGAAGGTGTGCAAAATACAGGAAAATCCTGAACTTCTTTTTGCAAACACATTTAACTCCTCAGGTCTTTAGGGAAGAATCAGGTTTTTACATCAACTCAAAATTCAAAAATGTCATGAGTAATATACCTGTTTCCGTGAGGCGTTGCTGTCTATGAATTGATACATATTTCTAGGCATTTTCTGCTCCAAACTACTTACTATAGTAAACAAGGGGTAAATGTCACAAACCCACTGTGCTCCATCCCAGAAAAGATTAAAAGTATGATTTCATGCTAGTGTGCAAAGAATTTGGTTTAGTGATCCCTCCAGTGGTATTCACTCTAGACTCTGGTCCGAGACCTGTACTCCAAATTTCATAACTAAAACCCACTCAACAGGCTGCTGTAATGGCCACGAGCCTATTTCTTAAGCCTGAAGAATCCATGTATACAAGGGACCATTACCATACAGTGGAATTATAATAGTTTAAAAGCCTATTTTAAGCATCTCCACCTGAAAACCTTCCAGCCGAGTGATCCATTACCTCCCACAGCCAATTTCACCAGCTGGGTGAAAAGTGCACCCAGCGGTCTTCTCTTCATCACCTCCTGTAATGGGAAAGCCCCCTTTCTCTTGGTGGCATTTTCTAAAGCAATAATGCCCTCTACAGACAGAGTCACAGCCCATTAAAAAAAACGAGACTCCAAGTCTTACCCGCTTCGCGGCCCAAAGATCGCACCGCACCTCACCGCACCTCACCGCACCTCACCGCACCTCACCGCACCTCACCGCACCTCACCGCACCTCACCGCACCTCACCGCACCTCACCGCACCTCACCGCACCTCACCGCACCTCACCCGGCTCTCTGCTCTCGGCCTTCTCCGGCCCGCTACCGGCGAGAAGCCCCGGCCCAACATAAGGCCCGCGACCGTCGCGCCTGCGCCGAGGAGGCCCCTGCGGCCACTGCCTAGGACCGCGGCCTGGCGTGGCCTGGCCCGGCCCGCCGCACCAGCCTGCGCTAACCCGGGCGTCGGCAGCAGTTTGCGGCAAGAGTCGGGGCTGCGAGCACCCACCTCTCGCGGGGCCACGGCGTGGGCTTCCGGTGGCACCGATGAGGAACGAAGGCGTAGCCTCGGCGGGCCCGCCTGCCTCCCGCCACTGCCGCGCCCCCTGCTGGTGGCCTGCCCGCGGCGCCCGCCGCCTCCCTTCAGCAGCGGGCCCGTCCCCAGCCCGCCTCTGCCCCCAAGCCTCCTGGCGCCCCTTCCAAAGGGGCATTGTCAGCTGCCCCTAGCCCTCCGTCTTCCCAGGTGTACCTCCTTTCCGTCAGAGGCAGCCCTGCATGAGTGTCGCCGGCGGGAGGCGGTTGCTCTGGCTCCTGCGGGTGTCCCCCCGGGGCCGCAGGAGCCCCTGCAGCTGGCCCCGGCTTTCTAGGAGCTGGGAGCTCCGCTATAACTGGGCGCCCCTTCCTTCAGCGGCGGAGAGGGTTTCTGGCTTGCAGCCTCCAAGCCGTGCCGCCCTGAGCTACCCTGCTTCTCGTACTCCCTGCCCTCCGCTGTGTATCAAACAGTACCGATCTGCCTCACCATGTTCTTCTCCATCCCGGACGGGTGTGCAGGACCACGATTTTGGCCACCCACTCAGGCTGACAAAGGAGTTATCTCCAGACATATGTAGGCAAACCCTGCCTACCTGTTAGTGTGCAGCATTAAAGCACAATGGGTCACAACAATGAAAGCACACAGGGATCATAAGGGAAAATATGGGGAAAATACACTGCGAAATTATAGGCAACAAAGGTAGAAAGGCAGAAATTTCTCCAAAGCAAAGCACCAGTTGTTCAGTTCTTTTGCTCATGATGCTTCTGTTGACTTCAAATGGAGTAAGTGGGCTTTAACTTAATTTCTTTCCTTTGAAATTGCAATAAGTTTAACGTAATAGAAGAAAGTAATGGACCTAGATTGTCTTTTTGACAGTATGTATTTCAGTTTTAGTGAGACTTTCCACTTCCCTGTGATTCAAGCAGCAGCAATGTAGATAAAATTGATTTTTATTGAAGACATTATATGTTGCTTTTTAAATTTTTACATTTTAAAATTCAGTGCAGGCAGCAAGTATAGTCATAATTGAGTGTAACACTGGGCAAAAGAGTGGGAGACTGCAGACATCCGTTTCAAACATGATCCTCTGCTATTTTCATTAACAGCTTGAGGCATTACACAGTATATGAGCTAAGCAAATTAGTGGGTGATGTGAAGCTGGGCTCAAACAATAAGATTTTGAGGCATATGGATAAATCCAAATTAAATATATTAATAAATCCAAATTAAAGAGGCTGAAATTAACATAATGGGATTCAATAAAAGCAGGAAAAGTACTGATTTAAAGAAGTTACCAAGTTGACAGTCTTAGGGAAGAGCTCTTTCCATGCTGAAATGAATAGCCACGTTCTTGTCTGAAACTCTGATTTGTCCCTTCCATTGTGACAGACATTTGGCCACAGGAGAGAGTCCCTGCTTAAAGAAGCGTGTAGTGTGCCCCTCTTTGCTCTTGATACTCTGTTTGACTACTGTGCAATGTTTTAGTTGTTAACTGTGTTCATTTTCCTTTCTCCAGAAAAGAGAAAAGAAAGGTTATTATTTTTTTAAATAAAACCCAGCAAGCATTCGCTGCTGGGGAATGAAAGCTGTAGGCTCATGTTCTTTTAGTTGCTGCATTTCCATCAGGATTTTGGTTGTTCTTTTGATTTTAGTTGTGCTTTTGTAGTTGTTCTTAGGCTTAGAGTGCGAGACAAATCTTCTGGGGTATAGTCCCAAGCCAGCTTCACCTCTTCATCTGTGCTTTTAGAAGTACAGCAGCATGTAGTAGGAAGGCCCTCCAGGAGAGCAGTCTTACCCTGCTGACATGATGAATCTAATTAACTAGCAGACTAAACTAACACAAGGATTAGTCAGCTCTGGATCCTACTGACTCATTTTCAACTACTATCTTAATCCCTTCTGTTGAACAGAGATGTAATGGTGGCAGTTGACACTGCTCATTTTGGTATCAAAATCAGAAAATCCAGTATCAAACTGGCTTTTGGCATTGGTATACACTAGACCTGTCAAGCCTCACACGAAGGAATCACTGAACTGGATCCCACCTGGCTTTTAATTTCTGAGAAGGGTTTGAAGGAAAACATTTAGGGAGTGAGCAATTTCAGCAGAGGCTGGTTGAAAAGCAGTGGTAAGTAAAGAAATAAGCATGTTCAAAATTAGTTTTCTCACTCTTACTCCAAAAACTAGTCTAGCCCACTCTGGGATATCCATCCAGCATTTCCAAAGGAAGCTAGAGGAGATAGGCACACGGTCCCCAAGCTGTTAACTTTATTCAAACAGAATTGCTGCTGAAGTTAAGTGGTGTTCTGGCCATGTTTCTTTCCTGATTCCAATGTGATTGTCATGTTACTTAACCCAGTTCAATTACTAACCAAACAACTAGAAGGCTTTGCTGAGGTAACTGTTCAAAATGGCATTCATTTGACTGTTTACTGTTTGCAAGAGAGAAATATTTTTCAAGAGCTTTCAGTCTTTCATGTTTCTGTGTTTGGGTCTATCTGGTGCTGGCAGGTTTCACCCTTAAACCAGGTTGTTTATAATCTGGGATAAATATGGGGGGGGAAGCCAGGGTTCCTTACACTACAAACTTCTGTAACAAGTATTACTTGTTTAAAATGCTTTGTAGTTGACCAGATTCGCTTTGGTAGCATTGGTACAGCATTGTGGATATTTCAGCACAAAACTACCTTTGGTTTTAATACATTACTTATGTGATGAATCTTTTTTAATGTTCATAGCAATTTGAGGAGGAAAATATAATATTACAGACGCAGAAAGAATTATTACCTTAGAACACATGACACTACTGCTGTGCTGAGGATAAGATGAATTGCTGTAAATTTTCCTGTTTAAAAAATATCTGAAAGTAACACAAATCCACTGTATTTTTCATTCTGGCACACAGGATATGCTTTAAATAGCAAGAGCAGTTAGGACTCAATGGCTAAATTTGCTGCATAGACATCCTGCTGTAGTGCACAAGTCTTCCTGTCTTTTTTTGAACATATCTTAAATGAAGTATGGGAATGTTTACACAATTTTGGACTAAAAAGAATATATGTTGTGATGAATTGCTGTTCCAAATAGCCTTCAAATAGGTTCTTTTCCAGATTTCTTTGTTATTTCCCTGGTATTTTGACTTACTGTACTGTTTCTCATTTTTGTATCTGGTGTATATCACAATATGCTTTTAATTACCTTGTATGTTTTATTTGGACATTGAACAAATACTGTATTTTAAATGCTGCATAACACTATTAAAATATTAATTCTCTATTCCTCTCTTCAATCTATAGGTAGTAAAACAATAAAATAGAATAGTCTCAGTTCATCTCCATCAAATATTGGCCCAACATTTTCCTCCTCTTGATATTAACATACTTAAAAAGCCCTTTTTTGTCTGACACAAGACTGGCCAGTTTCAACACTAGTTGAGTGCTGGTCTTTTGTCTCTCTTTGGGGCCTGTCAGCAGCTCTTATTGCCAAACCCAGCAGCTGCCTTCTATCCTTGCATGGCCAGCTTGGCTGCAGAGGGATCATGGAGCAGTGTATAGGAGGAGAGCAAGGGGCCTTGGGGAGCACGGAGAAGATGCGCTGCTGTTTCTGTGAGGTTCACGTGCAGCACAGAGTAGTGCTGGAGGAATCCTGCAGAGATTATTCAGTGCGGAGGGGTGGTGGTGGCAGTGAGGGGTGCTGGAGAACTGGTGGTACCCATCTGTCCAAGATGGGAACTTTCCAAGTGAAGGAGAAGAAATGTCGGTGCCAAGACTGGATGTGGGAGAGTGGGAAGAAAGCCTGTGCCCAAGGGCAGCAGCACATCTTTCCTTCTTGGCTCACATCCCTGTAGCACCTGAGTGAGGGGAAAGAGGGCCCAGAAAGATGAAACAAGGTGACCAATGGCACTCATATCAGTGCAGAGAGAACAAGAGGAAATGATTTCAAGTTGCACAAGGGGAGGTTTAGATTATAGGAAAAATGTCTTTACTGAAAGGATTATCAAACATTGGAACAGGCTGCCTAAAGGAGGGAGTAATTCTGTATGGGTGAAATGTGGGTTTCTGAATGCTCAAGTAACTTAAATATGAAAAAGCTAAAAACCTGAAAAAAGAAAGAAAAAAAAATCAGTATCACAGATTCAATAACTTACGTAAGGAGTGGAGGAACATCAGGAAAAAAAGAAGTAAATTTGGTTCTAAGAATAAAACAATTTCTTGTAATAAGGTGTAACTGCAAGGTATGGCTCTTAGGGATCTTAGCCTGAGGCAAAGCTCCTTGAGGCATATGCTAAAAAAAAACACAGTGTGCCTCTTTAAATGATGAATGTCAGTTGAAGCGCATTTTCATTTGTCTAAATGGACTACACAAGCGAGAGGACAGCCTGCCTATGAAGTTTCACTGTCTGTTAGCCCAGTGATCATCTGAACATTAGATGTACTGACACATAAATGACATACTGTGTAATTGTGGTTTGGATGGTACTTTGACCTTATATCTAATAATTTTT